GGGTCTTCTATCATCTAACTGGGTGACCTTGGGAAAGTCAGAAGGGTCTAGAATGTCATAGCTGGAAGGGCCCATGGGCATTGTGTTACAGAAGACCAAAAACCAGAAATGAAGCCATCTGCCTCGGGTCACACAGTGATTAAGTCCAAGGGAAGCTGCTAAGACCCAGGCGTCCTGGTCCTGTCTGTGTGCTCTTGAGCTACTTAACTTGGGTCTAGATTTAGACCCCAGCCTGTTACATGTGAATCTTTTGATTTTAGCAAGTCATTAACTTTTCTACCTATCATATTTATGAAATGGGAAAAATAAAAACTAAAGAGTGTTCCTTTGAGGACTGATTTAGGTGATGTTTATAAAAGTGCTATAAACATGTTAGTAACTTTAAAATATATGTTCTTAGTGGTAGTAAATGAAAGGCATTGTGATTACTCTGCAGAGTGACTTTAGAAGCAGTGAGCATGATCCAAGTCAGAGGTCGGAGGTCAGGCTTTTGGCCAGTACTGGCAGTTGTCTGTTTTTTGTATGTAAATTACTATGGAACTTGGCCACACTCTTTGCTGGTTTTTGCCTCAACAGTGGAGCAAATCAGTTGTGACAGAGATTATATGGCCTATAAAACATAAATTTTTACAGAGAGTTTGCCAGCCTCTTATCTAAATTATTAGTGTATTCTAGTTGTGCCCACTACTCCTTAGAATCATGTTGTTTGGTTTGCTTTTTTGACCTCTGGAGTCTCATAGCCAGCAGCCTACTGGCTGGCATCTCCACTTGGATCTCTCATGCCCACTTTAAGTTCCGCTGCTCTCAGAGTGAACTTGCCCTGTTTCTGCTCAGGCACGTTGCTCTGTGCTCGGTAGCATGGTGACTGGTGCCACCTAGAGCACTACATCAGGAGCCTGGGGGCAATCCTAGGTATGTCCCCTTCTTTCCATTTCCCTTCAGTCTTAGCTTCCTCCAGATTTCATCTTCCAAGTATCTCTAGGCTCAAATCCCAGCCCCCCATCCTGGCCCACCCTGCCCTCAGCCAGACCCTGCACGTCTCCTGCCAAAACCTTTCCAACAGCTTGGGCTGGACTTCCATCTGAGCACTGTGCCCATGAAATGGACAGATAAGTTTCTGTTTTCATGGCTTTTTGATTTAAGATTCTATCTTTTGGTTCTATTTAAAAAACTGAAGACTAATAATAATCTGAACACATGTATTTTACTTTCAAAGCTTACAAAGCACTTCCACATTCATGATATCCTGTGATTCTGAGACTGCCTTGGGAGGGAGCTGGTCTAATTATCCCTGTGTATCCACCACATGAGGGGACCAGGGCTTAGAGGGGTTACAAGTTTGCCTTGGGTCATGTGATTTGGAAGCGTAACTCAGACCCAAGTCCCCCAAACTCTGTGTGCTTTTCTTTTCTTCTTCTTATTTTTGGTGGTGGGGGGTGGTGGTGGTGGTGTTTGTGTGTAAGATTCTTCCTCCCAGAGCCTCTGAAGTTCAGCTTTCTTTTCCCTCAAACACTAGAAATCCATCAGGTAATATTTTGTATATCTTGGGTTCCCACTATGAAGATCAGTATTAAAAAAATGACAGTGACTTGTTATTGATGGCGATGTCTATTGTTAGTGAGCAAGGCAGACCAAACAATTCCCTATTGTTACAGATGCTACTCTGACTTGACAGCTGGGGAGTCTGATAGGCAGTTTATTTACTTAGCCATTAAACCAAATAAATGTTTTCATCTTTCTTTCATCTCCTCAAAAGCTAACATTTTGCCCTTAAAATTGGTCCAGCAACACATCAGTAAAGTATAAATTACCTGCCATTCCCACACCAGCCATTATAATATTATTTTGGTTCTTTTTTGCCCCTGTTGACCCAGTCTTTCAAAGACACGTGATTCTCCCAGGCGGGAGGGTAGGAGAAAAATGAAATAATTGAAAATATTTCTCTTTATTGCTAAAACAGGAATGCTGCTTGAGATCAGCCCCGCAGCTCCCACTATCGAGGACTGAGTCCATTGGCTTCCTCTTACCATGGTGGCTTTAACTCATCAGCAGATGTCACCCCTGCCTCCTCAGAACTGTGCAGGTATTTCTAATAAACAAACAGCTGGGGATAATGGGTTTCAAGTGTGATAAGAAAGGCAGGACTCTTTGCACAGGGGAAATTAAAACCACGGATGGGACTACCCCTGCTCGTCGTCCCTCTCTGCATGCCTGGAAAAGCACTGGGAACTTGCAGTCCTAGTCCCTTCCAGCTGGTTGGGTGGGTGAATGGGACAGAGGCAGGAAGGTCAAATGTAGCCTCACTGCTATTGATGGAGGGGTCTGGAAAGGCTCATTCGGACTTCCCCTGTGGGTGCTGAGGGGCTACATGTGCAAGGCTAGCCTCAGCCTCCTGGCTTGCCATTCTTGACAGGCAATTGTGAAATGGCCAGGCTAAGCTTTCAAAGGGAGAAAAGCACTTCCATCAAAGATTATAGCCCAGCCTTCCTTTGAACCCAGGAGCTACTTATTATGATTTACATGTAAATCCAAGACTATTCATTGTTTTGGAAGTGAAAAGGGGCCCATGAGGCCCTAACTAGGGTCATTCTGATTATGGGACAGCACTGGTTAGAGAGCCAAGAAGTGGATTTATCTTTTCTTTCCCCCTTCAAAGCTATTTTGAGGTGTATCACAAATTAATGATCTGAAGATAGAAAGTACAAAGCAAAATCTCCCAGCCAATGGCCTAGGTCCTCATGGCAGAAATGATTAAACCTAAGTCCTAATGTATGTATATAACTCAAGCTAGTGGGGACACTACCTTCATTGAGCACATATGATGCCGGTGGTGGCGGCGGCAGCTAATGTCTACTGGGTGCTCACTATGTGTCAGACAGGGCACTAAGAGCTCCACATACATCGCCTCATCTAGTCCAAACAATAACCCTATGGAGAAGCACTACTTTTATCGTTATTTTTCAAAAAAGTTGGAGATTTATTATAAAATCTCCTCAGGGCCACACATCTAGTAAGTGGTAGAGCTGTCATCTTAACTCAAATAGTGTTACTGTGGAACCCAGATTTTTCACAGCTGGGTTTTAGGCTCAGCGCTGAGTATTCACCTCTACTCTAGAGACTCAAATTATGCTATCTCAGTTAATGTAATGGATACTATAAGCCCTTCCTAGCAGAAGAAGAAACCAAGACTCAAGAGAAATTATGGCCCTTGCCCAAGATTTCCCACTATTAAGTAGCTGCTGAGCTAGAATTTGAACTCAAGTTCCAAATCCTGAGCTCTTCTCACTGTACCACGCTACATCCATTTACAACTCAGCCATGGCATAGGGTTCTGGATGGAGCAGCAGACATGGAACAGGCTAAAGCCCATGGAACAGTTCAGCTTGAATGACTGTCTCAAGCTGAACAGGCTCATATATATGAGGATTTGATACATTGACCTGCACATGGTGTAAGTCATCTTTGTTTTCGAGAAGAACTTCAATTTTAGGATGATGCTTGCTGTTATCCTGATGAATGGCTGTTGTCGCCTGTAGTTCATTCATCAAGCTTTTTAAGGCAAGATGAAGCACGTGAAATAAAACACACACAAGGGGTAGAAAACCTCCTGGGGATTCTTCCCAAAGGAGTCCACCCATGATCCTCAACTTTTCTCTTTCTCAGAACATTGATTGTGCCTTTAACTCACCAGCTCCCCAAAGAGCTTGGCAAGACTAACACGTCAGACGGGCATGACATGGTTTTACATGGCACCACATGTTATTATGTGCTGTTGTACTGGTGTGATGCAGGAAAGTATACAGCATACTAAGTTGTTCAATTATGAAATCTGCTAACAAAATGCACTTTCTTTTTTCTTTCTTTATTTTTTAGTTTTAATTGCTCTTTTATTGGTATTGTATTTTCTTCAGAACACTGCCTTAGCTTTTGATAACTATCAAAATAACTTCTATATGAACTGCAAGTGAGGTAGCCTCAGAATCCCTGTGTGAATAGTGAGAGCCATCCACTATGTGAATGGTCTGACCATGCTGCTCAGGACCAAACAAGCAGGACGCTGCGGGTCCAGCCTTGCAGTCCGTCCCACACATCTGTGGAAACTGAAGAAAGTGTCTGAAAATTGAACACATTTGACAAGGAGTGACCTTAGAAATCATGTCTGGGTAACAAGGTGTACTCCTGTCTGCCGACAAGGTTCGCTTCATCAGCAACTCTTTCTTTCGATCAAATCAGATGTATTGAAATTTGAGTGCCCAAAGCCACTTGTGGGAAATGTAAGTGCACTTCTCTCAAAGTAGCTGCTGATGGAATCTGAAGTAGGTGAGTGGCAAGCCACGTGCTGTAGCACAGGTGCACATGGCGGCGCCTCAGAAGCACATGCTATATATGTCTTTGGGCTTTGAGTTTCCCTTTCACATTGGAAACAGGCGGGAGCCTCTTTTGGCTCGGCAAAATGGACTACTGTGACCTTCCATCTCTGCCAATCTTATTTCAAGCACTACTTATTTTTGCTTCTTACTCTGGCTTCTCCGTGTGTTTGGTTGGTGACCTCTTCAGATCTGTGGAGTGCAGACAAACTCGGCGACACTTTGCTTAAAAGAGTAAAGCATCTGAACCACGTCTCACTGAAAATTGATCAGGGTGGGCAGAATGTGTCCATCTCAAAACCGATGCTTTCAGAAACTGAATCCATGTTAAGTAGTATTGACCATGCCTCATTCTATCATCACCACTCACCGAGAACACATCATTAATAAAATAATATGGCCATTCCCCACTCACCCGCCCTGACCCCCGATATATGTCAAAGGTCATGCATCCATGAGGGAAAATAAGATGACAGACAGACACCAGGCAAGGAGAGATAGCACAAACATGAGAGGCATGTTCAGGCAAGGAGAGATGACACGAACACCAGGGATGTAAATTTCAAAGTGAAAACAAGCTAAAGGGAAAGCTAACAGTGTAGGGATGAAGGAGATAAAAGGACAGATACCTACCCAGACCTGTGCTATCTAGCTACCGGCCTGTGGACTTATATTATCAGCACTGGGCTCCCCACTGGGCTCCCCAAATGGATCACTGTTGGATGAGGCCTGTGATCCATCAGGCTAGAACACAAGAAGATAACACTTTTTTTTTTTGCAACAACTGAAATATAAGACAGCAGCGCATACTTTCATGCACACAAATAATCAGTTATTTTAATGGAGGCAGCAACTTTCAGTCAGAGGATGCCACGCCCACAAATGCGAGACCTTGTAAGAACAACTTAACAAACGGAAATGTTTCTCACTGCTCATTGGAACAGAAAAGAAAGCCCCTTAGTAACTTTTTAAGAACTTAAGCACCTGACCCAGTGTTCTTTCCTATGTAAGTTTCCTCATGCATTGTCTATGGCAAATATAGAGATTTTAATTTTAAGGAAAACAAAACCGGAAAGAATATGCCCGCCACTTACAGCTTCTTGCTCTTCGCTCTTGCTGGGGCTTTCGAAGCCTTCTTCGAAGATGTCATCTGTGGTGGGGTCACTGGCGTGGGATGCAGATGATTTGGACGGAGAGCTCTGTCGAGGCGCCGGGGTTGGAGCTACACAAAGACCAGTAAAGACAGGATGCACTGTCAGTGTCTGGCTGTGGCCACATGCCCCACAGAGACCTCAGGGGTTGGGTTCTGCTCAAGTCAGACCGCAGGACTCCTCTTTCTGTCACAGTTCACCCTTTCTTCTGTACATATTTATCTTGTCCTCTCACATTCTTGGTGGATGGGAAGGTGCTGGTCCACACGGATGGAATAGCCAGTGGTTCTCAAGGGATGGTCCCTGAATCAGTGGTATCAGCCACGTCTGGGCACTTGCTAGAAGTGCCAATTTTTGGACCTTTCTCCATACCTGCTGAATCAGAAACTCCATTTTTCTGCACACTCACATTGAGAGCCAGATTTTTTATTTTTCCTTCTCTGTTTCTTAATATCATACAATTAATTCAATAAGAATAAGTCAACCGGAGGACAATAATACACATTGACTGCCTTCTATGTATCAGATACTGTCAGAAATTAAATAGATAATATCTGTAACCCTCATAAAGCCTCCATGGAGTAGGTGTATCACAATTACACAGCTAAGGCAAGCAAAGGTTGCTAAATTGCTCCTGGCCGCAGAGTTGGCAACCAGTAGAGCCAGACTTCCTAACCTGACACATAGTAAGATACGATAAACACATGCTAAATAAAGAGTGCCCCAGTGACCTGGACAATGGCTGTCCCCAAGGCACTCACAGCTGGCACTGTATTCCTCGTTCTGTAAGAACGTGCATTTTCTCTCCTGACCGTCCTGCCTTTTCCTCCTCTCATTTGTGCCAGAGCTTACTAACAAATATGCTATTTGAAACCACTTTCCCTTCAAAAATTTCTAATTTGCCATTGAAAATACCAGTCACTGGCTCAGACCCAAGTGAGGGGGTAGTGTGGTGTGAGTTAGTAGCTGAATTTCAAACACCAATGATAAGGCTTCCCTGTAATAACTTTGCAGAATTTCCAAAATTCTGGCTGCTTATCAGAGAGTGAGTGAGTGAATACAAAACTTGGGGAGTTCCTTTTGCCTTGATGAAGCTATCTACATTTAGAATAACAAGGTAGTTTATTGTGTGCCGGCGAGCTAGACACCGTGGTGGACACTTTGCATTCATTATGCTCTCTAAGATAATCACCGCTGTTGTTTTAGTTTTCTTCTGATGAAGACACTTCAGAGAGGTGAAGTGACACGTGACTTTCTCAGGGTTAACATGGCTGTGCAAACAATAGCAGTATGGGGATTCAGCACTGTCTGTTCCACTGTGCTTTTCTACTTAAGGTTTACTTCGGGTCTAATTGGTCCTCCAGTTAAAACAATTGAAAGATGATGCTGATGGAGAAGGGGACAGAGAGGTTGGTTTCAATCATTCTTTTTAAAATAAAAACATTACATTTTTTCTAATTTAGAAGGAAGTCTGTTTTGTTTCATGAGATGATTATGAAACAAACTAGTCAGAGTAGATTTAAGTGAGGTAAGTGACAGGGAGGCACCCTGATAAGTTGTGGGCATTTAATAATTATTAGTGCAATTCAATTCTGAACTGTGTTCGATGTAGATTATTGCTTACTAAAGGCTAAGAACCCCAGCTGAGCTCCCCAGTCTGAGAGGTATACTGTTCATACTCTTTAAATGAAATCAATAGGGAGCATAACTAGGAGTTTATTTATGCAAGTGTTTTAACCTTTAGAAGGTTTTATGGAATATCTCTAACTCTAAAACAGTGATTCTTAGTCCACAGCTATTCCGCTCCCAGGGGGCATTTGGCAACATCCAGAGTCGTTTTTGTTCATGACTAGGGAGCAGATGTATACCACTGGCATCTAGTGGGCAGAGGCTGGAGGTGCTGCTAAAAATCCTGCAATGCACAGGACGGCCTCCCGAACAAATAATCATCTGGCCCCAAACATCAATAGCGCCTACACTGCAAAACCCTGGTCCGAAAACAAGGCAGTAAATGAGTGACCTTTGTCTTGTTTGTTTCATTCTCTGCGACATTTTTCAAAATGCCTCCCATGTTCTAGAGACTGTGCTAGCAGTATGAGAAGAATAGGTGTGATTATGTCCCCTGCCCTCAAAGAACTTAAACTTCCCTCTTCTGTTTGTAGCTGGTGCACTGAAAGAGAAATACTTATTTTCAAAAGGTGCCTGCTTATTGATGCATGACCATCATTTCTGCAACATTTTGTCTTTTTATTCATTATGTCACTGAAACCCTGAGTGGCAGTTCATAGAGAGGCCCCACTATGTAGATCATCTGGCCTGAGTGGAAGTAGGCTGCTTATGCACATAGAAGGTGTTCATTTTCAGATAGCACCCCGAGTCTGGCTGAAATGACAGTATCTAATTATGTTAATACTAGGGTGCTTTTTTTTTTTTTGACAATTCCTGGCATTGGCTGAGCAGTGATCCGTGTCATCATGACAGCAATGAAAACGCCAGACTCAGTGTTCCATGAGCCTTTCCTCTCCCCGTACCAGTTGTGAGGGCACGGGAGGGATCACCAGACGCCCTCCCCGAATGGCGTTGACCACGGACATGTGTGTTCAAGGGTGCCTGGATTCTCACTGGCCGCACCACTCTGGTTTTCCAGACGTTTGCAGTAGAGAGGTGAGCTAGGGTAGAGCCACCGAGTATCAGAACTGGAATGGGGCACACCACTTACTTTACCCATGGCCCAGCTGAGGGCAAGAGAAGTCACACACTTGCCCAACAATTCAGATTGTGGTGGAGGAGCCAAGATCACAGCGCTGGTCCAGAACGCTGCACAGAATCACTCGCTATGCAAGAGCAGTGACAATAAAACCACCTCAAACTCTGTGAGGTGTGTAAGGTTTTACTGTGTATGTCACTGAATCTTGTCGACAACCCTGAGCTTAAGTCAGATGAAGAAGCTGAGGCTCACAGAGACAAAACGACTTGCACCCAGGCACCAACTAGTAAGTCACAAAGCTGCTGTCCAGGCTCCCAGTCCGGAGCTTCCTGCTCTGCCACCACCTTTCCTTCTGACCAGCCTGAGCTCTGAGTCAGAGTCTGGCCTCAGCGCCACCAGCTATAGGAGGCCTTCTGGTTGCTTCTAAGTTTTCTTCTCACCTTAATTTTCTAATTTCTTATCCTTATTCCTAAATTTTTTTCAATTCACATGCAACATTCATTTTTATTTCAGTGAGCCACACAAAAATCCCTGTGTCATAACTGGGATATACATGAATGAATGAATGAATGGGCAAATGAACCAAAATCAAAGAGGCAAAGTGACATGGTGGTAAAACAACAGGTTTGTATTCAATTCTACCGCTTTGTCTATTCTCTTGCCTTTGGGTCTCACTTGTATTACCTGTAATAGGTCCAAGAAAACTTGTCATAAACACTATTATGAGTATAAAAATAATAAATATACAGCACTGAAGGAGACAGATGAGTTATAACTGGCACCTAATAATCGGTAGCTATTGCTACTAGCTGTAAGAGTAACATAAACAAAGGGCCCTGTTGAATGTAAGTGAGATTGGCTCTCTGACCCTAGAAGCAAGGCACCACTCTCATTGGGTTTACGAAGGGCACTCACGTGAGTTGGTTGATGGCGTGGTAGAAGTCACAGGGGTCAAATTCAACTGGGAGATGTCAAAGTCATCACAGTCATCTGTATCCTGTGCCACCCCGACTTTGTTGAAGTAACTGGAGAAGGCCTCTGAGGTACAGGTGAGGGAGGGTTGGTCGGATTTGCGGGAGGGCACTGGTGGAGGCTGGGCCATCTGGAAATCCTTAAACATTTCTTTCCCCATTTTCTGCCTGGGCTTGTCGGTCTGTGGACTTGACCTGGTGGAGTCACCCGTGGCTGGGACTGTTGCAAGGGGGGTGAGGGGACCTTGGAACATGGCGGCTGGCAAAGGCATAACAGTTTGTGTGGGCATGAAGGCGGCGGGCGGAAACTGCCCGGCCACAGTTGACCAGGGCTGCTGAGTGGCAGGGAAGAGACCCGGCTGGCCCCATGCGATGGGCTGAGCCCCTGGCATCACCTGAGCGACTGGTGGCTGAGCACCCATGGCAATCTGCTGTTGGACGAGGGGCTGCTGGCCCCAGAAGGATGGGAGGACGGCGCCCATTGCAACGTAACCTGGAAGGTGAAAAAGAAGAGTCAGGCATCCTGGGAAAGAGTAATTCATGGAGGCAGGTGATGGGCAAAAAGATACTGAGCAAACTCCTAAGTGTCAGGCTGTGTGCTAGGGCCTGCAGATACAAGGATGACTTCTGTCTGTGGATGCAACACGGAAGTCCTATTCTCTGCCTTCCAGAGCAGCGGTCGTGGGAAACCTCTCTAAGGAGACAACTTGTAAACCGAAGCTACACTGCAGTGAAGGGGCAAGCCAGGCAGGTATGTGGGCAGTGATAATAATATTGCTACAGTCATTGAGGGTTTCTGATATCACATAGCCTCCACAGCCAGTGTGTCTCAGTGGAAGGCACAGAGGACTAGAAACCAGGCACATCTGGCTTTGGATCTTGCCTCCCCTTTTTGCTAGACCTAGGGCCTTCTCAATTGTTGGAGCTCTTTAGTGTGAAGCCAGGTTGTAACATCTTCTTTCCCACCATCAAAGCCATGGGAAAAGTGAATAAAAATGGGAATGTTGGGGTTTTAGAGGCCAAGGTGAAAATTCAGACTGCCACTTCTTATCCATGGAATTTGGGGAGGGCTTAGGGGGCTCTCTAAGTCCATTTCTGTGAAATGGGCATGAAATACCTCCTGCCTCATTTGGATGGTTTAAAGATGGAGTTCATAAATTTAAGGTGTGCAGTCCTCCACTTGACAAAGAGCAAACATTCAGTAAATGTTAGCAATTAGTATGATTTTAATCAGAGACTATAAATATGTACTTAATAGCTTGCTTGAATGTAACAGACGCACAATAAATAAGCTATAGGTATTATCATACATTTCTGAATTATTATTATGCCAATTTTAGAGATTACATATATAGGCAATTGTCTGTTCAGGAGCACCTCATACAGCACAGGTTGGGCACTGCGAACATCCAAGGGGCATACTCACATATATTACTGTGATACAATACAGGCATTCTTAAACAGGAGTGTAAGTGACACTTTTTATGGTAGCAGTAGTAACAATAACAATTTCCACTTATTAAATGCTTACAATGTATCAGGCACAGCATTAGGTGCTTTACATTTCACAGAATCCCTGTAGGGTGGGCATTATCTCCAATTCAGGGATGAGGAAATTGGCCTTCAGAGAGGACAGATACCTCATACAGGGTCACACAGCTGGCACAAGGTGGCATCAGGATCTGAACTAAGGTCATCTCTCTCCAAAGCCAGTGTTCTTTCTCTGTACCAGACTGTCCCCCAGATGGCCAAGACAGATTTCTGGTGCTGCACAGTCAATGCCCCTGGTCTGGCCATCGAGTGTTTTAGCATAATGGAGGCCTGGAGAAACCCCCATGTGCTTCCAGTGGTCCCCATCCTTCTCAGAAGGTCCAATGGCCATATGCACGCAATCAAGCTTGGGAGACAGATGACCAGGCCAGGCAGAGCAGAGAACCTGGCTTTGCCTGCCTTCTCAAAACCAGCATTTTTATGACTGCCAGAAGGAATTTGCAGGTACACAGTAGCAACACCAGGAAAAGAGGAGGGACAGATGCAGGGGATCACAGCAACTTCCAAAGGGAAGACAGGCGGGTGCCATGGCACTGGTGATGTCATGGGTCATGACAGTGACTCTGGTGAGCCCAGAGCAAACAGGTGCAGGTTCCCCTCTCATGCCCCAGTCTCCAAAGTGCCTGTCCTTGAGTTGATTGATAAGGGATGGAGCCAACATTGAAAGCTAGGTCATTTCCTTGCAAGGTGAGAGGAAGCTCCAGTGGGGCTGAGACAGGATATGGAGATGAGTTAATCTTGATGATTAACTGAGCAGTGTTAAATGCTTTTATGAAATGAGGCAGGGGTATCAACAAACAAAATAGACAATACCCTTATGAGACGTTTCAAACTTGCAACTTGCTTACATTGCCTATTGCCTTGCCTATCATATAATAATGTCAGGACTTGAACCTAGCAGCAGACTAAGAATTCCGCAACTTTTTTTTTATTTTTACCTTCTGATGTATTTTGATGGGGCTCAATGGTTCTCAGTGGGAGTGCTACTACCCCCTAGAGGATGATTAGGAAATTTGTGGGGTGTGTTTTGGTTGTCATAACTTGGTGTGGGGGGGGCACTACTGGTTTCTTCAGTGCAAGAGCTTTGATACTAGATGTCCTTCAATGAGTGAGACTGACGTGAACAAAAAATTAGCCTATTTTCTTTTTATGATTATTTGAGCATAGACTGAACTTTGAGTTACACAGAAATTCAAAGTTCCTTTTTACAAGTTTTAATGTACTTAATTTTCTAGAAATGTGACAACTGTGTATGTTGAGAGAAGACTGTTATTTTCTCTGGTTTGGAACACTGTCAAAAGTTGTTCACCCATTGGGAAGGTCACAGTTCCTCACCAGAACACCTCTGGTGGTGGCTGAGCCAACAGGATGCTCTTGTATTTCTTATGTTTCTTACGTGTTCATACCTGACTAGTTAGTATGTCTGCCAATGTGGTTGTACTTGGGTATGTCCTGATTGAAATACATATATTTTAATTATAAATTAGCTTTCTTTTATTTCTTCCTTATGTTACTGTTAGGAAACTGCATCGATTTTTGAAGACCTGTATGCAGATGGGTTATATTATCTATGAACTTCATTTCATAGCATCACAAGCATGTGTGATTACAAGGGAGCACTGGGTCTGACGAGGTGGAGAGCTCTCATGGGTCTTCCCGCCACCCCCACCTCCAGCCCTGCTGCTCATCTTGGCGAATGATGGAAGGCTCCTGCCGCCCCAAGCCTATTTTTTGTTTTGTTTCCTTTTCATCCCCTTCGATGTCACCAGAAGACTGTTCTCCAATGCAAACATAGTGCTTCATTTTCTTGAGTATCAGGCTCAGATGTGTTAGCTTGGCTTATGAGCCTTTGGGGGATCTCCACCTCTTTTTTAAAAAAGATTTTATTTATGTATTTTTTAAAGAGAGGGGCAGGGAGGGAGAAAGGGAGAGAAACAGGGTAATTAAGTGGTTGCCTCTTGCATACCCCCAGCTAGGGATCTGGCCTACAACCCAGGCACACACCCTGACCAAAAATCAATCTGGGGACATTTTGGTTCTCAGGCTGGTGCTCGATCCACTGAGCCACATCAGCCAGGTCCTCCTCTCTACCTCTTCATCCTCATTTTCAACTGACACGTTTTCCTCCAGCCACTGCAGACAACACTCAACCTGCTCTCTCTCACCTTTGCTGGTCCATGTGCCTAGAAAGCCATCCCCTACTTCTTTATGTGGCTACCCCTTATTTGCTCTTTGAAACTCAGCCCAGCCACACCTCTGCTGGTTGCCTTCCCTGACCTCTAGACTCAGTTGGTTCTCCTTCTTTGAGCTTCTACAGTCCCCATGTGCATGTCAGTCATGGCACTTGTCACACTGCCTTGCAATTGTCCAGTTATTCTGTCTTCTCTTGTTGGACTGGAAACAACCTGCTAGCAGAAGCCCCTATTTCCTTTCTCCCCACTTAGCATCTAGCACAGTTTTGGCCACACATCGATTTTTCCATAAATGCTTGAGACTGGAGAAAGGCTCTGTACAAAGGTGGATGAGTCATAGTAGAGTAAACACCGTCACTGAATTTTTCCAAGTGTACAACTAAAATCCAAGATCTGTAAGTGCCGTGATCTCTGACGAATCTACTGTTGGTGGCAGGGATTTTCCCCCCTTATCATTTTTTTGCTATAAGGAACCAACAGATGGGCTGTGCACACTTTTCTGGAGAGAGCTGTTAACATGTCTCTCTGGCTTCACACCACCTGTTTCAGATCAAAGTACAATATTCAAAAGGAAAAAAAGGAGCACAAGGTAATTGGGCATCATGTTTGGGAACTTGCAGGTCTCACTTGCTTTGTCTGTGGGGGGCAGTTCTGGCAGCCCGGGCTCCTCCCAGACCAGTGAGCTAAGCTTCTCTGACCACACGGCATGGTGCATGCCCAATGGGATACCTCAGCAGCAGGGCTGCGGTAGCCCTGGACACAGAAAGCCACTTGGGGGCTGCCACTGCAGCCACATAACTGCTTAGTAACTGTTTGCTCATTAACATTTAGCCGCGGAGTGGGGAGGTGCCAAGGAGCATCTGTTTATGCCGTGGAGTTCAGATCAATCACGTACCTCCTTGCTGGGAAGTGAAAGGAAACACCTGCATTCCTGCCTTGCAGTTAGATTTTTAATGTGTTGAAAATTGCAATTTATAACCAGATGCTCATACCTGGGGATACATTCATTATTTGTAAAAAGAAAAAAAATCAGACTAAAATGCAAGAAAAACACTGAAAATGAAGAGACTTCCCCAGCATATATAGAACTTACATGGTGCCTCTTGTCTGTGTTACTGCATTTAACTGACTGATTGAGTCATTCATTTCAGAAATATTCCTACTGGGTGCCAGCACTGTTTTAGTCTCTGAAGATGGAGTAAAGAATAAAGCTGTTTAAAAAAATCCTTGCACCAATGGAGCTTACGTTTTTAGAAAAACTGTGGATTCATGAGGGAGGTTGGATGTAGCTACACAGAGTGTGGGGAGCGGGGCCAGGGCTCCTGATGGACAGACAGGTAGCAAACTTCAGGTGAGTGCTTACTTATGAAAATGCTGCCAGACACTTGCTTTAAATATTTCACTACATGCATTAACAGGTGCAATCCTCAGAATAGATCCGTGAGCTGGAACCTTGTCCCCATTTTACAGACATGTGTCCTGAAGCCCAGAAGAGACTTAGCTGAGTATTACATTGCCAGTTAGTGGTGGGTCTGCCTTCTCCAGGGCCCCCAGACCAGCTTCACCATGCAAAGTCAGGAGGCTGAAGACCTAAACTTTATTACATGCATTAAAAAAAATTCCAAGAAGATAAAGGAAAAAAACCTAGGTGGAACGAGACATATTTTCTTGCACTTTAGATATCAGAGTAATAATAATAATAATACTAGTATTTTCCACATGAAGCATATACAAAATACCAGCATTCTTCAAGGCACTTAACTTTTCATTTAATCCTCATGATATTGTTGCAAGGTAAATAATATTTTTAATTCAGTTATGAAGATGAAGAGACTCCAGCTCTGACAGGTTAAGTAATTTGCCCAGAAGTCTAAAGCTTCTAAATAAATGTCTGAGCCAGGACTCAAGCCCAGTGTGTTGGCTGTGAAAGCCTCCGACAGCCTGTCCACTGCACAGTATACCCCGCCTCGTTTCCCCATGCACCTGTCACCGGCTCTCCGGCTAGGCACGGGCAGACAGAGATTCAATAGCTGCAGAGATTTTTAAGGCCAGGTAAGCAAGAAAAAAGGGCAGATAGTTTAACACCAACTGAAACCTAGTTTTGTTCCTCACCATATTTTAAATAGAGTAAGAAACCAAAATATGCTAATAAAAATTAATTTTAGACTTATGTTCTAAAACCTGGAAGTTTGGAAGTAACCGAACCACTTTTTTTCCCCAGCAGCTCAATAAACCAAGCCCGGATGTGCAGAAATGGCGTGTTCATAGTTTGCAGCATGGCTGGTCAACCACAAGATTGAAATATAGGCCTTCAAAGCCCTCGTCTGGCACAGGCTGGTGAACAGACCTAGAGCAGTATTGTGCCTGGCACGGGTCAGTCCTCAGGGGCTTTTCATCAAATGTTAGGGCTGGAAGACAATGAGAAATTGCCTCCAGTCCCACCCTCTCACTTATAGGCAGGGAACAGGGACTGGAAGGGCCAAGTCATTCCTCCCCTGCCCGGAGTACTCCCAACCCTGATTCCGTCTTGGCTCTCTCCCTCGCTGCTTCCAGTCTGTTCACAGACCATCCTGCATAAGCCCCTTCTGATTACAGCCTGTACTTACACCCGCCCTTTCCCTGTTCCAAAGCCCCCATAACCTGCTGCTCTACATTTTCTTTTTGTCCATACCACTCATCATTTTCTAACACAGTACATCAGTCATTTTTATACTATTGTCTGTGTCCCTAATAGAAAGTAAGCTCTCTGCAGGCAGGCACCTGTCTGTGTGAGCTGTAGTCATTGACACACCCCAGGCACCCAGACCTGAACCTGGAGCACAGGCAGCACTCAGTGAGTATCTGTGGGATGAACACACCTGCAAATTAGTGAGTTTAGTGCCTAGAGTTCCCATCACCTGTCCCAGCATATCTTCATGAATCAAATAATGAAGACAAAGCATGGGTATTCGGAACACAAGGTTGACAGCACAGGAAGGCAGAGTCTTTCTGATGGAAAACTGCTATTCTTATTTAAAAAGACATACGTGATCCCCAAGGAAATGTGAAGATTCATGTTAGGTAAGGAAAAGTATTCATCACCACTAGCCTCCTTTAAAGACGGATAACAAAGAGTCAATTGGGAAACTTAGCAACTGAATATATTTCTAGGCTACCTGTTGCTTCTAAAAGTTCATAATGATCCCTGAGCTCATGGTGAGTAAGTGTAACTACTTCAGAGCAGGGGATACATTTTTAATTCACTTTGAATAACAACTAGGTTTATATCTGGTGGCAAGAATTTGCTTCTAACACTATGTAATTAAAAGTCATTATTTATAGAAAAATATGCAAGAAGATTTGTACTCTAGAATACTTAAACTAGATTTGCTATTTATAAGAATAGAGCAGAAAAAGAAAGATGAAGCTACAAACTTTAAATACGTCATTAAAGAAAGCAAAAATTCTTTAAGTCTCCCCTGTAAGTGAAAAGCAGAATTAATACCACCTTTGGCTGTGCCCAAGTAGTGTGGGTTGGCTGCATGGAGCACCCGACGCCATGGAAACAAGATACCTGAGATCCCACTGATTTGTAACTCATCTGCAGTACCATTACTACATACAGGGTCTGGCACAAATAATACCCCTTTTTAATTACAAAATCATAAGCATGTGATTCTGTAACATAACAATATCACACTCAAGCACAGCATATGACATTTTAGGTGAATGTTGAAATTAAAGCTATAAATTATTACACTCATATTATTACCCTACCAACCACACTCGAGTAGGCATTACTTCTGCCAGACCCTGTATTTTTACCCAGTTGTACAAGTAGTACATGTATTTTAAAGAACACTTGGAAAACAGAACAAATACTTTCTAAATCACTAAGAGCCACATTAGCCTCTCAATTCACTGTTAGGCAATTTGCTCTGGTTCCTTGGGTTTCTTGCATGGGGCACCTCCCCCTACTTGGATCCACAACCAAATGAGTCAGAGCACATCTATCAGTCAGATCTCAAGAGCTCTTTGGGGAACGGACTCACCAGCTCCCAGTTTGCCACTTTTCTCCTCTGGCTGAGACGGACAGGAAGAAATGGACTTGCACTGATTTGCAAGGCTGTGTGTGCACCAAGCTCCCTAAAGCTATACACTTGAGTCCTGGAATCTTGAACACTCCAGGTGAAAGACATCGCTGAATTCCAGACCACAGCATACCAGACCTTCTTAAATAGCACCCCCCAACCCATGGCAGCTTTTCAATGTCACCTGAAGTGTTACGAGGGGAGAATGGTGGTCCCGCAGGCACTGACACAATCTGGCAGCTGGTTCAGTCAACCCTTTCTCCAAAGGAAGGGGAGCAGGTGGGAGAGGGCTTACCTGAGGGTACAGCAGCAGTGCCGAAAGGTACAGAACCAAACATGTCTGCACTCGCCGGAAGTGTCTGAGATGAAGACGGGATAAAGGCATCACCTGGAGTTGCAGGAGTCTGTCAGACAGAGAGGGGTGGAGGGTGCGTGAGGCTCCTGGGAGACCTGGCTCAGCAATCATCAAGCATGAGAGGCAGCAGGTGCAGGAACTGGGTGTGTGTGCGCGGGACAGATGTGTGTGGGTGGGTGGGGGAATGCTGCAGAAGCAAACCACAGTCCAGACCACTTAGGTGGTATGCAAACCAGGAACTGGTTACACAGATAATCTGTAAAATGGGCAACATGATACCTACTTGTAGAGCTGCTGTGAGGATTAAATGAGATCATGCACTGAAATCACTGAGTATCAGGCTGACGCATACAGTAGGTGCTCAGCAAACAAAGGCCAGTATTATGACTATTCAGTTTGAGTCCCTACCTTTTAGGGGTGATTTCAGGCCTTCAAATTTTTTCCGTAATAGTTGGCTTTCCTCTTTAAGACAGTCAATTCAAACTGACATACACTTACCCACTCAGGACCTACTTTGTGCCCAGCTCAGGGCTTGTTACTCAAAACACAGCCAATAAACAGTTGTTGACTAAATGAACCAATGAAGCTTAGAAACTGGAGCAGAGATCCTTGCATCCTGGTGCCTCCCAGAATTTTGCTTGAGTCTTCTTGCGAGAAGTATGTGTTTTCTAGAAGATGATTTCACAAAAATGCCTGACCTATAAACTCTGCAGTGGGGCCATGCCGGAATTTCAGAAAGGTCAGTTGCATGAACTGTTGGGTAAGGTGAAGGGTACTGAATGAAAAATATCAGTGCGCAGTTTTTCCTAATTATTTGCAGAGGCCCTTTGCCTACAGAGTCTGTCTACTCGATGACATAATATTCTTACTTTTCCCCCATTGGGATAGACTGGGGCAAGTAATTAATCCTGAAACCAGGGCAATTAGACAAGACCATTTTTAGACTAGCAGCCTGTGGGAAGAGTGGCATTGTTCTGAGGATGATTAAATACCCATTTGCACTGCACTTGGGTTCAGGGCCAGAAACGCAGCCATGAGACACTACCTTAAGCACTTTTTTACACACAATCAACATCATTCTCTTTTTCACAACGTGATCTTGGGTGAGTCACATGCCTTCTCTGGGACTCAGTTTGCTCATCTGTAAAATGAGGGGGAAAGGTTATAAGGTCTCTTCAGGCCTTTTGGGCTTCATAGTCCCATGGTTTTGAGATTCCCAGTGCCCAGGACACAGCTGTTCTGTCTGGAGAAGGAGGAGGGAATTAGATGTACTAGAGCTGTCCAGCTTCCCTGGAGACAGGAGCTGCTGTCCCCTCCTTCACAGCTGCTCTGGACATCAGGTGTTGGGAATGGAACAGCTGTGCCTAGATTCCCTGGCGGCAGCTGTGGGCATTAGGGTCTCATGCCATCTGTCTTTAGTGGTGAGGTTACAGCCTTTTCTCTGTGAGGCACAACTTGCCAATGAACCATAGCACCACCCCTAGGTTTGCACAACTGTGCAGTGCTCAGGGGAGCTGCCCCTCCCAGCAGCTTCAGCTGGCGCAGCTGTGACTGACTGCTCTCCACCTACCTCTGGGGAGTGTGTATGTGGGTATGGGGGTGGGGGAGAGATGCTGAAGGGGCTATCTCAGCTGGCTCTGTTGTTTTCAGCAGCTACAGGGTGGCCTTTGAATGCATCAGTTCTCAAAACACTGTTTCTATTTGGTCTTGGTTTTAATACCTATTTTTCTCCTTTTCATTTCAAATGAGGGCTTTCTAAAATCTCTGTCTCCCTGCAAGCAATGACTGAGATACACTAGCTGAATCTGGAGCTGGGACTCCAAAGCTTTGTGAGAAGCTCAGGCAAGCCAGCAGTCAGGGTGGAAGAAGGGAGGAAAGAAGAGGGACAGAGGAAGGAAGGTAAGAAGGAAAGGGCAGAAAGGGGTGGGCGAGAAGATGCTTCCGCCACTGGGCAGACCACCTGGCAGTGCGGGATCTGGGTCAGTGCTGTCGAATGCCTCATCGTGTCTCTTGTCCTGTTGAGTTTCTTGCCCCTATTCCCAACTAGACCACCTGCTCCTTGCAGGCAGTGACCACCTCCCATGCATGCATCTCTCCACTGCCCAGCATAATAGCTAGTACCCAGGGGATCTATAATTGCTAATGCATGATCTCATTGATTTCTCAAAACAGAAGCATGTATCATAATTTCTTTTAAAATTTAAAAGGAAATTGAGATTTAGAATTATTAGTTCTTTTGCCCAAATCACACAGCTTGAAGGAGTCAGAGTTAAAATCCAGTGGTAGGCCTCTTCTGCCCAAAGCCCCTCTTCTGCCCAAAGCCCCTCTTCTGGCCACTGTGAGGCTGAAGGAGAGAAGGGAAGGGGTGCCAGGCTCAGAGGCCAGTGTATACTTACGGGGGGAGAGGTTATATCAGGAGGGGTGGACATGTCCCCAAAAAGTTCTAATTGGGTCACAGCCTGCAAAGACATAAAAGATAATGATGTAACCATAAGGAATGATGCTGATGCTGCTGGGCACTGCTTGGAAGCCAGTGTCCTATGAGGACAAGTATTTCTCTTTTTCTATTTCTCTATGTAAACCATGAGCCCAGTTGGTCACCACTAGGCCTCATGATCCTAAAGACAACCTATGCCATGCGGCCAGAACCGGTTCCTGCTTCCATGTGTCTGGCTGTTTACTCAGGCTCAGTTCAGGAGATTCAGGCTTGCCCACCTCCCGTAAACAATGCTCATGCCACTTCACATGAGTTTACCGTCAACACCAGCACTGTCTCTATTCTCTAAGGGAGATAAAGGCAAGAGGGCGGTCCTATCATTGGCTTTTCTTTCCTGAGCGCATCCACACACACAAAATGCCTCTCACATGCTAAGTATTGCAGGACATGACTTCACAGCCACTTCTCCATAAATGCTCCCAATATCCATGACCCTGAGAGGTGGGCGTCACCATCACCATTTTTACAGATGAATAAACTGAGCCACATAGAGGTGACCTCAAGGTCACACAAGCTATGACTTGAATTTTCTGCACACAGAGTATGCAGGCATATGAAGTCCCTGAAAGAGTTTGTCTTGAGAATAAAAAATGTAGTTGGAAGAAAAGAAAAAATATATTTAATACCAGGAAGGGCATCAGAAATAGCCCAGCATATACACTATTAATCACTCCTAGGAACTCCATCACTGTAGCCATCATATCATCTATATTCCCCATCCATCATGAGGGAGTGTCTGAGCAACACCAGCTGTAGCTGTAGAAGAAACCCTTTAAGATATACTTAGAAATAAATCTGCATACTCTCCCAGCTTCAGAGACTGTAGGGAGTCTATAGCCAGGATTCCAATGGCCTGACTTGAAGTATATAATCACATGCTTTGTGCAAACCTGCCCACTGAGGAAAAGACACTCTCCGCTCCTCTTTGGATTTTGAGTGATAGGGGAACCTAAAAATACCACTCAGGAGAAACAACAGGGAGAGTCCGCCTGCCTACCATGCAGACAGACTCTCCTTGCCTGCCTGCCTGCCTACTTGAATTCTGGATCTCTACGATTCACAGCAAAGAAAGGAATGTTCTCTCCTGCTGACAAGTGAGGGAGCTCTGGTGGCTGGACAAGGTCCCTCACCTGGGATGCTACTTCCAATCCCTGCCATTCCTCAAAGTTTTAGTTCCCTCACCTGGACAATGGAGATGGTAATACCTCCTTTGCAGATTTATTGATAATATTAATAACAGGACTTTCTTTGAAGTTTGGCTAAGTATGGTTTCAAAGGTACAAAAGGCTCTTTTGGCTGAAAGAAGCTTAGCCTGTCTTACTGACTTTCAATTCTTCCCTTTAAGCCTTGAGATGGAATAATGGTGGCTGGTATAAAGCAGGGTCCTGTACATGTTCATTTCCTTCCCAACTATGCAATGTTTTTTCTGAACAAGTGCTAGGTGCTGGGAACATAATGATGAGAAATGCCAAGTTCCTGCCAGTAGGGAGCTGACAGTCTGGTGGGGACAATTCACAGATGGAGATGATTTCAATATAATGTGGCAGCGCTGGCAACAGAGGTCTCTATGGGCGTTATGGGAGCACCTAGCAGGGACCCAGCCAGGTTTTGGCAAAGTTTGGTGAGAGTTTTCTCAAGCCCTGATCTGGATCCTGAAGAAGAGAAGTGGTTAGCTAGGCAGCCAAGAAGAGGAGGGGCAGTTGGAAATACATGAGCAAAAAGGAGAGAGGCCTGGGACTCTGAGCAGGTGGGCATGACAGGTGTGTGAGGTCAGAGGGAGGAGCAGGAGAGGAGAGCAGTGAAGTGGCCAGGGGCCGGGTCGTAATGGGACTTGGTGCATTTCACTGTTGTTCTGTCAGCTCTCTACTAACTTGACTCTCTCAGAAGATAATGGTCCACACTTACAGGACGGTGGTGCGATGGCCAGCATGCAGGGCACTCTCCAGGATCTGGCTGGACCCTGAGCACCTCCTTGTTTTGTTAGCTTGTTTCCAATAAGTTATATTACTTGGAGGAACTATGCCAATTCTTTAGACTCTCTCCCACATTCATATGAGTAACACCTCTACTTAACTCAAATGAAGCTTCTGGGGTTCCTCGCAATTGGAACTCAATACTTTTAAGATGGTCCACAACTATTTTCAGTGGTACAAAATATTAAAATGAAGTTAATAACTAAGCTACATACTATACATTCCAAATGTGTTAAACTCGTGGCACACTTTTACCAACACCATAAATATAATTTACTGGCTATTTTTCTTCTTAAACACAACTTTTAAAATATCCTTCATTCTTGAGACACAGACTTCCCTCCTGCCTGATGATTTTCACTCAAGGATTAAATGAGAAAAACATGCAGAAGCATAAAACATAGATTATGACTTCATTCCATTGGACTTGCTGTTTAAACAAAAGCTTGAGGTAAATTTCACAGGAAAAAATGGATTCTTAGGCCACATACTTAAAAATAATTTGGATAACTGTATGTGACTGAGAATGTGGAGTAGTGTTGATTTTAACAGCTTCCCTCCCTATGATAATGTTAGGCCTTTTATTTGTAACCTAATAAGCCATGTTCCATTGAATGCGATTGTTGTAATTAATTATTTAAGGGACTGAAGAGAATAAAGTTAACCATCCCCATTTGTAAAACTCTTTACACTTTACAGTACACTTTGCAATACATTATCATCAGGTTTGATGTTCGCCGAGCCCCGTGACGTCAGCAGCACAGATGTCTCACCACCGACGTTTTGCAGAGGAGCTGACTGAGACCAAGAGGCTGAGTAACTTGCCTCTGACCAGTTAGTTAAAGGCAGCTGGACTTGACCCGCAGACGGAGCGGTATCTCGTTTGTCTATCACTTTACACAGCCTTGGTTAGCCCTCCTACAGGGTGGAAGTCCAGCTCCACCCTATTCTCTAGACCAAAGTCGAGCTCCTGAAAGGCCTTCATGATTCACATCCACCTGGAGAACTCATCTGGAAGGCTGGCTCCAGGTGCCTACTTGCCTTACCATTATGAGCACTACCGATGCCTTCATAGAAAGAGAGATGCAGCTGTTGATGGCAAATTCTGCCCCTTCTTTAGTCCAGGGCATTTTCCAGGGTGAGCAGAGTAACACTGGAAGCTGCCAAGACCACTGAGGGGGATGAGGGACAGCTTGGCTGTTTATGGGCGGGGGGCGCCTCAGTATCTCCATCAGGTCTGTCCCTTCCCAGCCATTCTTGAATACGAATGGGTGAGGTTTTTGCAAGAATATCCTAAGTGTCAGCATTGTACAACTGCTGTTTCAGGGTTAGTCTCTAGGCCCTCTGTTCAGCTAGACTCCTAGGTCCCTCCTATAGAGAAATTCTGGAGGCACCGCTGGTGAAGGCTGAGATGCCTTGGCTGACCCCCAAACCCCTTCTCACAGACTTATTACCTATGTTTTGGCATCAGGAGCTCCTTCATTTAGGAAAAGCATGAAGCCCCTGCTGTATAACAGATTCTATGCCAAGGGTGGGGGGTACTGGGAAGAATAAGGCATGTTCCTGTTCCTACTCTCATGAGCTGGCTGTCGGATGGAAAGACAGGCCCATAGACACAATCAGGGCAGTGTCATGGAGCAGAGAAGCACGAGGGTTAGAGAAGAAAGGGCCACCTCAGGGCCTTTACATGTGCTTTTCCTCCTTCTCAGAGCACTCATTCTTCCCCCCATTGCCTTTCCACCCATTCATCAGGACACAAATTTGAGGACTTTCCCCCCAGGAAACATTCCCTTAGTTTTTACCCCATTGCACTATCCACCAGCTTGTGTGATATTTTTATTTCAGTGGTCCTCAAACTTGGATGCACACTGAAATCACCAGGAGGAAAATATCAATGCCTGGTTTGAAGTATAGCCTAGTACCTCTAACTGTAAAATCTCTTCTGGTGATTCTAATCTTCAGCCAAGGTTAAAAGTCCTTAGAAGACCTCCCCACCCCTATCAACCAAACACTCTGATCAGGGGTGAGCATATTCATTAGCCTATATATCAGCCAATTTGTTTAAATATTGGTTGTAAGCCAGTATATCTATTCCAGAGTATGCTGGCTGAATAGCAGTCTTGCCTGTCTTTTATTCCCAATGGTGTACTTAGCACACTCTGTTTTGGTGTGTGAATCCCATTATGCTGTTCTACTACAGTACATCTCTCTAGGCTACCTTACCCTACCCTACCTCACCGAACCCTACTTTCTGTGCAGGGTTGCACTATCATACTATGAGCTTCTTCCTCTGCACCATATCTCCAGCCATTTATCAGAAAGCCTGGGACATGGTAAGACCTTGAAAAATATTTCTTGAATGAAATGAAAGAGTGTCACTTCCTCTCTAACACACACACACTCTCTCTCTCACACACACAGTGACTATGTGATCCTATTGCAGGGCCCCCCAGGAGGCTTCCTGCGAACATCAGAACAGAGCAGAGCATGCATGAGGATGACCAGAACAACCCTGACTTAATGACAACAGCCTGGAGGCCTTACCTTCATTGCCTCCAAAATCTCATCAAAGTCCACCGGCAGGTTTCTGTTCTGTAACCACAAGGCAAGACTTATGAGCATGAAATGAATGATGAACAATGACAAGAGATGGTTCACCAGACAGGGCCCTCTTGTTCTTACCGGGGTGGCCGCGGCAAACCGTTCTTCAAAGTCCTCAATCGGCTGGCCGTTCTGAAAGTGGAAGGGGTGACGAATGAGGATGAAGTGAGTGACACACAAATGACACGGATTAATGAGCTTTATGAGGATGGTATCTACGGTTTACACTAGCGTGGTCTCAGTGGGTGGGAGCTGTTGCCAGTGTCCTGTGAAAACCCTGGAATATGTTCCCAACAAACAGGTGATCAAATACAGGCCTGATTAGGAAACACCACAATCGTAAATGTGTCAGTTTAAAGTACACCTTCCTGAAATGACAGGCATCACTCAGCCAGTCTCAATAGTGGCAATGGATAAGAACCTAATGTTTACCCTGGAGATTTTTAAAAGAACAAAAAAATGTTATCTGCTTTACCAAACTTAAGTCCTTAGCCTGTAAACAGCTAGTTTTATAAGTGACTTTGTGCATGCTGTCCCCTCTGTTTGAAATGCTCTTCCCCTCATCCCTGCAAGCTCAAAGCTCATCCAAATTCTCAAACCTGGCCACCCCTTCCATGCGGCTTTCCTTAATCTTCTGAGTTGAAAATCCTCCTCTGAGAATTAACAGCCCATCATTTGTGCTGGTCCCATGGTGAGCTTCCTGAACCCAGAACCATGCTGCATTTACTTGTGAATCCCCAGGAGTGAACAGAGGGTCTGGCACAAAGCAGTGCCCCAAATGTATGCATGAATGCATGCTTCAAAAGCAGCTGGCTGCTGACCAGATCTAATTGTTTTAATTATTTTTTTGCTTATAATTGTTGAGAGTTTCACTAGACTACTCCACAATATTGCTGTGCCAGCATCCATTTTGTGTGGCCACGCAGCCTGCAGTGGCTGAACTGACACCAAGCCCTCCTGTGAGGCGTGCCCCAGACCACAGTTTGCAGTCTCCCCACTCCCTGGGGCCTTCCTTCCCCTCACCACCCCTTAGATAAGACCCCTTTGAATCTTACCAAAACTCTGATTTTTGTTGGTTTGAATTGCCAACGCAAGCTTAGTCCAGGAACTCTAGGCACTTCACTCACGGGCCCTAATAAAGTCACCTGCCTTAAGTCCTGCTGCTCTCTCTCCTGCACCCGGCCTTGGCCTCTCCCCGTGGCCTCTCCTCCAGGACCTGTGAACCGTGAATTCTCTATTCCAATTCTCCTGTGGTCTTTGTTGAACTTCGGCCCACCGTCTGATGCCCCAGGGCTCAACTTAATAATATGTTAATTTAACAAAGTCACAATAATAATATTTACTATAGATAATACATAGTATCTATCTATCTATCTATACAGATATATGACTATGTTCTCATCTATAATACAAGCTAATTATTCTTTGGATGATTTTCAATTAGTGTAACAATAATATAAATCTGACAATATTGACATTAAAATGAGTTGTTATGCATAAGCAGAAATAATTGTATCATTTCCTAATTTTTAGGAGAGCTGTCTGTTGGCAATAGAGGATTGGAGAGACTATTACCCAATAATTTCATAACACTCATGTGTCAGAAATCACTTTGGCTCTGTCTGTAGGAAACCTGAGTTGATGTCCCTCCACCCCAGACAGGAGGCTGCAAGGCAGAGCCAGGGAACCAACGTGCCCCCACAGCAGGGCCTTTAGGCCACGCACCAGCAGACCCCATCGTCACCCACCCACTTCCACCAGGCACTGGCTCACCAAGAGTCTGCTGTGGCAAGGAGGAGAGGATGAACCACCATTTCAGATAAGCACAGAAGTTATTATTATTATTATTTGGCCAGAGGTGGGGAGAGGTGGTGGGACAATATTAGTTTAAGCGATCCTGTAATCTATGGAGTGGCCTGAAAGGTTAAGGGTATGTCGCTACATCCTTTATAAATTCGAGCACTTCTAGGGATTTATGGCACAGTCCCTACCAACTAGCTCTGGGTCATAACTTTTAATAAAAACATTTTTTAGTGTCCAAAATCTCATTACATCTGTCCAATATAAAAAAGCAAGTGGCTTCAGAGCATGATGGATGAATTAAATAAATTTGAAAAACAGCCTGTGGTAGAGTCTCATAAAAACCCCCACCACATAATGAAAATGTGTGAGGATAACCAGTGTTGGCATGAGCCTGTCACTTTCTTGGTGACAGAAGGGGTGGCCTGTGGTGAGGGGTGCAGCTGGGGTGTGATGAGGCGATTTTGCAAATCCAGATGGAGAGTGGTCTGGGCTCGCGAGCAAATGCGTCTCCTCGGAGTCACACGGAAGTAGATTGAGTGGTGGCCGTGCTACATGCTGGCTGTGTGACCCTGGACAGGTCAATTAGCCTCAGTTTTCTCTTTTTTAAAGTAGGGATGATAGTGATGACATCACATGAGAGGATCAACTGAGATGTGGGTGCAAAGTCTTGTTTGGTGTTTGGCACATAGTAGGTGCTCGACAAATAGTAGCTATGATTACTATCCTTTCATCCCATTTCTTTTGGCTCATTTTTGCAATGCAGACACACAGTTTTTCATGATAGAAAACTATTATTATGTAACACTGGGAAAAAGAAAGAGGAAGAAGAAACAAAAATCTTGCCAGAAGTCCCTCATTAGAAATCACCCCTACCTGAGGGCACAGGCCAGACTCTGTGTCCAAGGATCCCCAGCACTTCTTGGCCTTACCTCTGAGCACCTTGTCCATTCTTGACCCCATCTGCTCCCTCTCATCTCTATTCTAGCTGCTGTCTTGCCTGACTATCTCTCCCCCATTCAAGCCTTTGGCTCCTGGCACTGTGGTTCCCTTCCTGGGTTGACCCTGGCTCAGTCATTTCTAAGCACTCTTTCCTCCTGTGCAGGGCAAGCCTTTGGAAACACCCTGGGCCCCACATCCGGCCAGGGAGGAGAGCCCGCCAGCTCCTACACTCTCTCCCTATCGATTCCCATGGGCAGGGCCTGGAATCCATTCCCTAGTCTCTGCACACCCCCACCCCTCGCTTTATCTACAATTACTACTATAGTTTTAATTTATTTATCTCCAAGTATTTTTTCTTAATAAATATTTTATATATTTTGCCCTCTTCTTTAAAAAAAAGCCAACATGACATCAAATTTCACTCACCACTTAAATTTCCAGGGAGGATTTAAAGGAAGAGAGTCTCCTGCTCTGCTTCTACACAGTTCTAGCCTGAGTTGTCATTAAGACATTAAAATAAAGCTTCCACAGGGAGTTTTATCTTCCCACAATCCCTTTTTGGAGCAGTGGGGACACTACTGCCCATAACTGAGTAGGGTAACTGTTAAGACCAAATTCATATCACTTTTGCAGAGTGACAGTGGATGAGGTGGGACTTGATGAAGACAAAGATGAAAATGTACTCATGGCTGTCACATCAGAAACCTGCAGTGTTCCTCACCCCTGACTGCACAGCACAACCCTGCGGGGGAGCCCTTACCAACCACTGGTGCCTGAGCCTGGGACTTCAGAGACTGGGAATGTGTTGGTCTGGGGTGGGGCCCTGGCACCTGTAGGTGTTAAAAGCTCCTCAGGTAATTCTAATGTGCTGCCAGATTCACTAATCACTGTGCTGGGGAATGAACTCTCTGCAGGAATAATTAGTAAAAATCCTACTGGGAAAACTGAAGGCATCTGGATTGATTATGTAATTGATTAATTAATTTCTTCAACAAACATTTGCTGGGCACTTTCCACAGGCTGTGTCCTGTCTAGGCGCTGGTGCTACAAAGATGAATGATGTAGGGCCCCTGCTCCGCTAAAGCTGAGAGTGAGCCAGGATGTACAATCATTCTAGCTTGCGGGTGGGATGGATAGGGGGGCAACAGGGAGAACACACGGCTTCCAGATCTCAACTCAGAACTCAGGCCAATGTTGCAAAGGAATGAATTCAATTACCTATTAAGAAAGCTCAGGAGAAATGGATTAACTTAAGTGATTTGTAACTGCACCAAGGTGGGTACCATTAAGGCACCTAGTGATTCCAGGCATTTGGATGCATGTGCATTTCCTCAGTGAATGATTTAACAAGACACATGCTAATGAAGACGAATTCCCTCCGGGGTGTCTAGTTTACACTCTCTCTTACCTTTAGCCAAGAGTAAACAGCCACTTTCTTACTTCTTGGCAGAGAGATATAGGAAAACCTATTTCCTAAATGAAGAACCAAGGAGAGTGGAGAGGAGTTGAGATTGGGGAACAGAAACTATGATGTTAAATAATTTCCCTCAAGAGCAGAACAGTCAAACAGGACTTTCTTTAAAGATATAAAGTTCTATATCTGCACTGTCCAGTATGATAGCCAGTAGCTGCATTGTGGCTATTGTGTGGCTAGTGTGACTGATGAAATAAAATTTTAATTTCATTTAGTTGTAATTAAATTCAATTTAAATAGCCACATGTGGCTACTGTATTGAATAGCTCAGTTCTAGATAATGTCTGTCTGTCTGTCTGTCTATCCTAAAAAAAACCCCTTCCAGTTGCCTGAGTGCTTTCTAAATACTAGACATGTATCTTCCTTGTAGAATCTCTTCCATTCTAAAGAATATCCTACCTTTGCTTTGATTGGAAAGGTTCTCTGAGGAGGACTGAATTTTTTGCTATGTCTAGACAGGACCAGGAAATCAAATTCAGTTGGCTAAATAGCAGCTTTCTCCTGGATGTAAAAGGTTTTTTTCCTTGTCTAGGCTAAGCCAGAGCAAGATATTTGTGGGTTTTTTTTAAAGGAACTTAAGATTCATGTTTCAAGTGCAACTCCATGAAGCCACATCATCCTAGCAAAATGATCCTGGCCTGCTGGGATTTGGGCTCGGTGGTTTCAATGGATGCAAAGCCTTGATCCAAGAGAGGGCTTGGTGATGCTTTGAGGATCTGTCTCTATAATGATTTAAAAAATTGCCTTTAATTACTCAGAGTTGGGCCTCATTTAAGCAGCCAAGGGCCCTTCCTCCCCCAGTTACCATTTCAGGAGGGCCTCCAAGGTTGCCCAGAAGGTTAGAGGATGGAGGGAAATGCTTAGATCTTATGATGAAAGTTATGTCTTCCCTTTGAATTGCACATAAGTGCACCAT